AAAATTTGGATAACACTTATGTAATACATAAATAGTATTATAATAACAATATTTTGTTAATTAGTTAAAATAAGATATCTGTAACTATAATTAAACTAGCATAACTAGCAAGTTACAGAGTATCTGTATAACCTTAGTTACACAGAGAGATGCAAACTAGTACTGAATAATGCAAACCTAAGATAAGTTCTTGTGGCTATATAAATTTGTAAAACTGTAAAACAAAAGCCTACTTGAAAATACTAAGTAAAGAGATAGCATAGATCTTTGATAGTACTACTGTAAAAACTAGATCTAGAAAACAGATATCAATGTGAAGAAATTGAATGAGCAAGAACCTTGAATAAGAGGTATTATCAACTAGGCCACTAGATTTTAGACTGAGAAAAAAGAATATTGAGTTAGCCTTGATATACTAAAGACATATTACAGTTCTTTCAAGTTATTTGGATTGAGAGTTTGAGGCCAAAAGTAAGAATATACTAAAAGTACTAGAAATATGCTATGAAGTTAGTACTGGGGTCTAGATGAACTTTACAAGAGTAGTCTTTGTTAATGTTCTGTAAAGTAAATAAGTAGTTAATAAAGAAAACTTTTATGTCTTAATGGCAGATATTGTAATGATCTAGAAACTAGTACAAAAACATACTACTCAGATAGTATACTAGTTAGGTATTTATAAAAGATTAGTTGATATTATATCATAACAGAGCATATAATCAAAGGATTTAAATAAATAATTTCTTAGTAGGTTATAGGTACAACATCTAGTATAGAACCTTAAAACAAACTACTTTAATAAGCAATCAAAAGTTGTATATGTAACTAGTTATACTTTCATTTTTATATATAATAGTTGTAATAACTAATTCAATAAAAAGTCAATAAATTTTTATTACAAAATATAATATTTAATACAAAAAAAAAATAAAAATATAATAAAGAAAATAACAAAAAGTGTAATAACTTAATGAAATAATCAGATTATCAATCTTCTAAGTAATAGGTTGAATGTTCAAATCTTATTAATAATAAAAATTTAAATAATTATCTATATAATATTTGTATTATAGCAACTGTTAACAACAATTAGTTTAAAATACCTATAATAATAATTATACTATTATAACTGATAAGTTATAGGCCATCTGTATAAATATAATACTATATAGAGAAATGCAAATTAACAAATTAGATTATACAAATATTAGATAAGTCCTTGTGACTGTATAAATTTGTTAAAATTAGATAATAAAAAATCTATTTGGAAAGACCCAATATAGAGATAGTCAGATCTTTAATAGTATTACTATAAAATTTCATTTGAGAAAATAAATACCAAGATTATAGTATCTGATTATAATATCTGAACAGTTAAAAACCTTTAGGTTGAAAAAAACTTAAAGATATTACAAATTAGGTTACCAGAATGAACTGAAGAAAAAGAATATTGGACTGATCTGATATATCAATAAACTGATTATAGTTTTATATAAGCTATCTGAATTGAAAGTCTAATAAAAAAATAGATGAAAAGACAAAAGTATACTAAAGTATGAGTGTTATGCTATAAAATAGATGTTAGTATCTGTGTGAATTCCACAAGAACATAGCAGTTTAATGATTAAACTCTAATCACAAGTGTTAATTCTATTATAATAATATTAAATCAACTGCGAAAATAAATACAAAAGATTCCAGAAAGTTTACCTCAAAGATAAAATAATCCTAAGGTTAAGATGATAATCTGAGCATCTGGGTATGACCTAGTGATGTTAATACAAGTTGCAGGTTCAGAAGGTTTAAAATAAAACATCCAAACAAGAATGTTAAATATAACAATTAATAGAAAACCTTTAGGCAGACTTCTTAAATAAGTAATATATAAAAGTTATATGTGTAGCCAATTATATGCTTTTCTGTAGTAGTTCATTGAATTACATTACCAAAAAAGTTGTTAATAAAAGTCAAAAAACCAAAAAGGTCATCTTAACACTAAAAAAAAAAAATAAATAAAAAAGGTAACCATCATAAACATTAACCTTGACAAAGGCAAAAAAAACAAACTTACAAAATACAAAATAATAGTTTACAATATTAAAATATGAGCCTGTAACGAATTTTTGCAAAAAGAAAAAACCTAAAAATATTTATTATTAAGTAAAATTATAATTTTTGCATAAATTAATATAAAACGTAGTGATCACGTGATTTATTTATAATCAGCAGGTCCAGAATCAACTAATTTTCCCAAGATCATTAAAAGTTTTACTAAAGAAGTTATAACAACTGACCAACCAAATTTAGGTTAGAAAGAGCTTTTCTAATACCAAAATTTTGCAAGAAAACCTTTTTGTTAAAGTGCAAGAGGGTTTTCGTAAGTAAAATGTTATGAATGATTTTTTGGTTGGTTTGATTTTTTGTGTTTCCTCTGCATAGCCTCTTATGTTGAAATCTTATTGGCAGAGAAATGCTAAAACAGTTGGTCAACCAAATTTCGCTGGCCAAGATCAGGTGCTATACATAAACCAAAAAATCGTTTATAACTCAACATTTTACCTATGAAACCACCTGTACAGTTAGCACACCGTTTTTCTTGCAAAATTTTGGTAATAGAAGAACTCTTCCGCACCTAAATTAATAGCAAATCTAACTCTAATCTAGCAGTGAAATTTTTTTAGTAAAAATTTTAGGATGGTAAAATTAACAAACTTAATTGCCCAACTAATAATTTTTACCCAAAAATAGTTGCTAAATGCTAACCTAAATCTGAAAGATCCGACTCGGAAATTTGGTAAAAATTCACCTTTTTCATATACATTATCACTTTCTAATTACATTCATACTTCGCTTACTTTTTCCAAATTACTTCGTAACTTAAATACTTTTTTTATTGTAACAAATTCATTTAGAGAATTTTAAATACCTTCCACACACCTCTTTATATTATTAATTTCGCATGTTTGTAATATAAAATGATGAAAATTTGTGTATCAGTGATTAGAAAGTGACGAATAATGTATATATGAAAAACGTCGGATGCTTATATAGGAAGTGTCGGATAAAAAAGTTTTATAGAGCTAGGATCTTAAACAATCATAAGACAACAACAAAGCTGAATCGTTGAGTTCTTGCAAAATAACGACAGTTTCAGTTTCTAACTTAATTCTAATCTTTTTTTTTTGTATTGATATATTGTAATATTAGTACCGCCTAAATATTAATCAGCGAGATAAGTAATCGAAAGCATATGTACTCGACCCCAATAGAACTTCTCCTATACGCGTTTTGGTAAGAATACAACTCACTTTCGTTATGGTGATGTTGTCGGACTGAAAAAGAATCTTCACTGTAGCTTATACTATCTAAGTGCTGCCAAGGGAAAAGGACCACTTTGTTTTTTAAGTATATTATTGATTATTTATTTGATTCAGCCTTTCTGATAACTGCATATCGGGCTTTCAATTAATTTAAAGCCAGATGTGTTATCGATCAGATAAATAATCAATAATATATTTAAAAAACAAAGTGACCCTTTTCACATGGAACAGCTAAGACAAATTTGGAATAGATTTGAGATTTTTAAAAAATGTTTAAAAGTCAAACTTGCATATACTTGTTATTGTTTTGATATAGCTTCTCAAGCTAAGAATTGAGAAACTGATGGGACAAAGTTGGAACATTCTGGAACAAGATGGGACAAAACAAAATCAAAAAAGCTTGGGACAGTCAAAATATACAGCGCTGATATGTACTTCACTATCGAATAGAAGATTAATAATTCTGTAATCCAAAATTCTTCACTATCACTATAACGAGAGTAAGTTATATCATATATGTAAGTACATCTATTTGCGTTCTAAAATTTTACAAAACACTGAAATATTAAAATAAGGACAAATCTAATTGTAACAACCTGTTACACACTTATTTGTAACAACTCAATTAGTACAGCTAATAAAAATAATTAAAATTTGTGTAACCCAAACCCTAACTTTACTATTGGCTAATCTGAGGTTGTTACATTTAACAGGTTGTTACAAGAACATTTATTCTTAAAAAAAATTTTTTTTTATCATAAAACTGAATATATAATGCCACTGATCAGATTTAGTGCCAGTCGATTCGTTTTACCGAGATGAATCGAATGATGCAAAAATTAATCAATTTGATAAAGACTTGAGAATAAATTAGGTATTATGATTGTTATTACAATAAGTTTCGGATAGCTTTGATAGTCAATTCCTTTCTAAAACTTTAAAATTTTTTTTAGCCTGTCAATAGATACTAGTCGAATATAGATTAGTTTATTTCAATAAATTTGGGAATAATATTTTTTTCCGAGGACTTTTACTATTAGCACACTTAGGTGCGCCATAATACCCGACCCTTCCTTAAGTGTCAAGTTAATTAATACAAAAATAAAAATACAAATTACATATATTAATTACAATTAATTTACAATAGGTGCAAATTAAAATAAAAAGAGTTAATAAAACTTAAATAGATCTGCTAAGATGAAAATCAAAAAAAGGTGATGACGAAAGTGATTCGCGAACGTTCTGTTTAACAGGCTCCGCGATGACACTTGCTGGTGGACTATATACTTTAGTCTTATAATAAGAGAGTGCTTCATCCAGGGGTAAGTGATCTGTAAGATTTCTAAACATAATAAAAGATAGTATTTAATTTAGGACTTAATTGGGCATCGCATAGCGCGATACTCTTGTTTATCCCGCATCAATTTGTTTGGCTAATTTCGTCGATCATCGTTACGCGAATTTAATAAAAAAATAAAATATTGTTAATAAAAAGAGAGTTATCATTCATCGCACCCTGACGACCAATCGGGATGCAACGTGAAAATCGAAGCGACTAAAAAATCGCTTCTAAACTACACTTTTTATAAAAAATTCCTTGCGAAAGTTTGGATTAGAAAAAGTATTTTAACTATTATTCTACCAAATCCTAACCCTAGTCTTAACCCGGTTGTTATTTGGTTAAGATAAAATCAAACCAAACCAAATGATTGGCCGAGCGAATATAATTGCAGGTGAAGGTGAAGTTTCACCATGAAGTTTTTCACCAGTTTCACCTGCAATTCTAGTAGCGATGGTGAACAATTTTAATTAGAAGTAAAAAAGATGGTTATCTTAATATAATTTTGTGTAATCATCAAAAAAGAATAGAGAAAATGAAAAAAATGCAAAATTTTCGAAATTTTACTAAGATAACCATTCTTTTGCTTATAAGTAAAAATGTTCAGCGCAAAATTTCGCATATAGTAATTAAAAAATTTAAATACATTTTTAACTCTATCTTAAGCTAACCCTAACCTTAAAAATTCTTACAAATTATTGCACATTTTTTAGAAAAATTCGTGTAATGATAATCGACGAAATTAGCCAATCAAATTGGTACGCGATAAATAAGAGTATAAGTGTACAAATCTAATAAACTCACTTTCTCGGTGCTACAATCAAACAATGCCGAGCATCTAGTTGTAAATCCATGATATTTGGATAATGAGCTCCGGGACTAAACGCCACACGCAAAGAATATTCCTTATCACCAGACAAACCACGATGACGTTCATAGAGTTCAAACGTGATCTGGGTGAGATCTTTTAAAATATTCGTATTATAAAATTTTTTTATCGGTTATATTGATAATAATAATAGTAATAAAACACTAGTAAGGATAAATGGCAAATATCAGCTCATAATAAATTACTATTAGACAAACCCCTTCGATTTTGTTCTCATAATTATCAGATTAAATAAGCGTGTAACTAATACTACACAGTCATTTATCACTCTCATATAATGCTCTGATGTTTGCTACTCCCTGACATTTAATTATTTACTTACAATCAAGTTCTGGAACGTCTTTCCTGGGTATTCTTGTGGGAAGGCCAGATAAAAACACGACATTTAGAAGAGAATGCACATGAGATTCTGGTAAAACAAACATATTATAACCAAATGCATTAATATTTTACTTTACATCATGTTTAAAGAAAAAATTATATAATGTTCACCTTTTGTAAAATATAATCTTGTGCTTGGCTTTAAACTTGATTTGGACTCCTGCCAAAAAATATATATATTACGGCAACATCAGTATAATGCAGATTATAGTAAGATCTAAATATTAATTATGGTTACCTCTAAATTTTCTATAATATTCTTTAACAACAAATCTGAGAGTAAAATTCCTATTAGGAGTTTATCTTTGTTTTCAATACCATATTCTTGAGGTGCGACAAAATCAAACAAGATTTTTGCACGTTGATATAATCCTTTTATTTCAGCCGTACTCTTATTACCATTTTGATCAACAAAAATGGTCTCTAAAAATTGTCGATTATGCAATGCATCATACTTGAGAGAATCATAGAGTTCAGATATTTTACTTGGATCAAACATATGACGATCCACATCGCAAAAGTCTTTAAATAATTTCTCCCACCGTTCTTTAAAAAGTAGTGGGTTTTCAGAGCAGCACCATCGAGATTGAATATTATCATAATCCATGTGTTCAAAATTTTCATGCATTAATTGGCGAAGATGCTTCATAATTTCAATAACTTCTTGGATCACAACATATGGTTCAGGTTGATCTTTTGGCCATGCCCAATCCACATTCAAAGATTCACCAGGTTTTAAAAGGGTTTTCAACCTATTTTTCACATCATCCATTTGATCCTTAGCTGAATTACTGTCATCCAGCATTTCTTTTCGAGTTTCAATGACATTTTCAGGAATATCATTTACATCCAGAAAAGTCCTAGCAAATATTTCAGCTGATTTGAAAATTTTTTAAAAGTTAGAATTTTCCTATCAATTTACATGTACATATCATGTATTTTTAACAAACTAATATATCAAAGTAGCTGAAATACTATTTGAATCCAATGCGTTCAAATATTTAAATTATTAGGAATGATAAATAACAAAATAACGTTATATATGCCAATATATACTCAAATTTATGAGTTTAGTAAGCTTGATTTTTAGTCAACACTCTTATTTTTGTATATTATTTTTTTTGGTAATATATCACTATATAAAGTACAAATATATTCTCTAATATTCAATTGTTGAAGAAATTTTATACACTTTGATATCATACCAGTTGCGACAACACGTCTTTCCGAGCTCGTATACATCTTTATATCATCCAAGACATTTTTGTTCATAATGAATAAGTCTTTCCGCAGATTTTCTCCAAGGTCTCGTGATTGATAAAGAGCAGAATGTGTAAACTAAAATTAAGTCCATATAGATATATAAATATCAACATATATTTTAATGTAATAAATTTAAGAATATAGATAGTTACTTCACCACCCCACTTAACAATAAGTTGAAGCTTTTCAATTAATTTATTTTCTTTGTTATAAGAAGGTTTAATTTGTACTTTGGTTCCAGGTAACTCGCTTTTCATTTGTAGTATTAATTTAAGTTGTTCTACTTTATTTACATCATCACTTTGTAATTTAACAGCAGCTGTTGCAGCATTTAACACCTTCTTGAGCTCCTCTTGACGTAACATGACTTCTTCAGTAGACCCATCAAGTAAATCAATGAAAGGCTTGCTTCGAAAGGAGAATTTCATTTTTTGTTTTGGTGTGCGGTCGGCATGACGAAATACAGCTATAAAAGCTTTCAGACGCCAAGAATTTTCAAACCGAAGTTCATTTGGTATTGAATCAATGCTGACCTTCCGTTTTCGAACAGCATTTAGAAACATTGCTCGTAAAATGCGAGCACAATTACTATAATAATCATCATTTCCCTTTACAAATGACCAACCGTTTACATCGATGACATATGATTGCCCATGAACTCTAAGCAAGTCAAACCCACATACTGTTTGACCAAATGCAAAAGATATATCGCTTGCTATTTTTTTTTCTTCATTCGTTAATGTAGTAACGTAACGAACCTCTTTACCATCAGTGTTACGCCTTACATGCCCATCAACCACCGGTGATTTACGTGTTTCTGCATGTGCATATGTAGGTCCAATGGTATATACTTTAACATCTTCCGCGTTGTCAACATCCATGAATTCTTCGTAAATATAAGACCCATCAATGCGTGGACGTAATAATTCAGGATCAAACTCGCTCGCTTTATTTGCCACCTATATAATTAGGATTAAACTATTTATTCATATATATAATATATATTAAAAAATTATGATATTATTACCTTGCGGAACAATCGACGACCACCACCACCCATTTCAGAAGAATAATATATATTTATATTATGATCTTCACCATTGACAGGCTTTTCAACAAAAGGCTTTCGTATTATTTTACCGTTTACACGAATAGTATCAATATCAGGCATTTCAATTAAAGCGAGTGGGCAAGGTTCTTCTTTAAGATGAATACCAACATTCTTAAAGACTTGGGCTTTTAAATCTGGATCGACTTTGGGACCACCATCTCTGTTAGCAATTAAACGTTTTGGTGTAGGTACGCCCAAAATATCTAACAATTTCAAGACAAGTCGTCGATCCCACAAAAGCCTCTGCATTGGCAGATCATTGACACAAAATGGCTTACGCAATTTTATGTATTTTATGGCTTTGTCTAGAGGAAAGCCATTTGAGAAGAAAGAGATGAAAAAATCACAAATTGGCCAATTTTCAACACCTTAAAATAATTTAGAATTTAGCAATTTTCAAAAACAACAATTTAATTAAAAACTATGAATTAACATTTAATTAAAATTAGAAATAACATTTAAATATAACATTACTTTCATCAAGTATAACATTATCTCCAAATATTACAGTTTCGAATTCACCAAATGTCAGAAGTCGATTTAAAATGTTTCTCATAGGTTTAGAACGTGCTTTATTGTCCATGGCACATACCCCAATAATGTCTAAAAGAAATTTCAGTTAAGGCCGATCAATATCCTTTTTTATTTATTTATTTATTTTTTTTATTTTAAAAAAAACTTACATTTTGTTCTTGCAGTAATAGTAAGAGAGGGTGCTGAAGAGGAAACAGGAATTGAAGTTCTTGGAAGTCTTAAAGCCATTTTTCCAAAAGATTGCCGACTGAAGAATTTTCAGGCCATTTTTATAGTTTTTTGTGCATCAACTGTCAAATTTTATTGGTCCAATATGTTTTATGATTATCACCAAATTTTTCTTTTTCTTATTTAGTGTGGAACAAGAAAAAAACCCCAGACTTTACCCATTCAATTTGTTTTCTCTGTACTGTACATAGAGACAAATCACCATATATAGTAAAAATGAATCAACAGCATAGTTTATTTATTTATTTTTTATTTATACAATTATTTCGGTGCCAGCCGGTAATAGCGGGTAGGATCGACTAAAGGATAACTATAAGGATCATTAAATGATTAAACTTTCTAACCATAACATGATAAAGATCCAATCCCACTGCATCGCAAAAAATTAAACGCCAAATCATAAAATATACCAAATATAATTAACAAGATTTCAAATAAAATTTCCGAACTTATCATTATAGTTCTTTATAAAAAAAATGAAGAAGCAAACGAACAATGGCTAAATGTTTAAAGTAAAGGAAGAATCTAAAACTATTATATATATTGTATTAGGTGAATTTATATTGATAATAACTTTCACTTTCATTTTTTTCACTTTAATCCTCATTACGCTTCAATTTCACATATTGATTTCGTTACCATCACTATCTTAATTGCCTCTTCTACCCAGTCAAAGTTTTATATATGCGAAAACGTCTGATATGTTTTTAAAGAAATCCTAGTTCCATTTTTTTAAAAATAAACAATATTATCTTTATTATCTTTAAATGCATTCCCTCAGCGAATATGTACTTGAAATAGAACTATATAGCATCAACGATCATAGATTATAATTAACAGAGATACCACGTTACCGCATTACAATATAGTACTGTAATGATTCGGAAATACCGACGCAATTTAATGCATTATTGCATAATTCATCATTATTTCGGCCGCTTTTTTTAATTTTCCTAGATATTTCACAGAGTATAAATTCCGACTTTTGTTCTTATATTATAGAAACACTGATGACTCTTTGAAATTCACAAGATTTGATAAGTGGATTCTATCAACAATCAAGTGCACTGATTATGGTGAATTTATAGTAAAAAAAAACCCCCGAAAATGCTAAATATATTTTGACGTGTCAAAAAAAATCCTTAAAGTTATTCTGACTAGTGATTTGACAGGGTAGATATCACTCGGGCCACTTGTGGGTGGGTCGGGTAACCTAGTGGGTGACGCATGTAGTGTGATATTTTTTATATATTTACTTACATATTTATTGTCGCAGCTGATGCTGAAATTGGCTGATGTTGAAATTTGGACCTATCGCTATTTTGATATTTGAAATGGCATATTTTTTATAAATAAGATGTTTCAAATAGCATTTTGACTATGTAGAATAATATAGACTAGAAAAATCAAAGGATTTTATATTTAAATACTTTGATTGATAACCATAATAAAATTCTTATAATTATACATGTAAAAACTTAATACATACAAAAATTACATAATAAATAAAATAACTACTGTACAGCGTGGACTAAAAGACCCCTTTATAATACCCCTCACGATTTTCGAAGGCCTAGAATGTAAAGTATCCCGGGTACTAATGATGAATTAATTATGTAAAATACCCGGGTACTAAAGATGGTTTAATTGCACTTAGACTATATAAAACATTAATGCGGCACTCATATTGTGCAACTTATACCTCCTACGTTAACCATAGTATCCTTCTGATTCTAATATCCATATATACAGCTTAAATTGTAAAGTACCCTGGTATTTTAGTCCACGCTGTACGGTAATTAGGGTTTAAAATGATGCATCATTAAAAAATGATTTAAGCTATTTAAGCTTTAGTAGCATTAGCATTAGATTAATCCATCCTAATATAAACTTGAATCTGGTTATACGTTAGATATTATAACGGGTTTGGTACAAAATCTCGAAGCTTACAATACATAATCTTGACATAATCTGTTATATGTTAGATATTTTTAACGTTTGGTACAACATCTCGAGGCTTACAATGCTATGATCCTGACAGACAAAATCTTGAAATGCTAAAATTCTGACAGTTTAAAATCTCGAAAATTAAATATCCCTAATATTTTTGTATTTTAGCACTTAAAATTTGATCAAATCTGTACTGTTTGAATTTTGTACTTGTCAAAATTTTGCACTTTTCAAAATCTTAGTATTTTGTCTGTCAGAATTATATACAATCTAAATCGCGAAAAAAAAATTTTTTTTGATGTCGATCATAATATGACTTAAAATCACACTTGGTGTTGTTTTGATAAAATCTGATTGGTGCAGATCATACGAATGATATAATTTGTTTTCCTTTCGTCATTTTTTTTCATCTTTTTTGTACTCTTACTTTTTTTTTAAAAAAAAAATTCTTAATTATAACATGTTTTTGTGGACAGGTTTTATTTTATTTCAAACAAACAACCACTATACCAGATCACCGGATACATATTGGTGATGTATCATAGATGTCTAGGTTGTTTTTACTGGTAAATATCGCAACCATTGTCCTTTATTAAATATGCAAAGTCAATATTTTAACTAATGATGCTTTGTGCTAAAAAAAAAAAAACGTTTTTTTGCTTTTACTGCTTCTGAAGAAGGTTTCAACTTATTACTAGTTTTTCATCAAATAAGCCGTGACTTACGTCGTGCTAAAACTAAAATTAAAGTCATTTGTAATCAATTAAAGAAGCATTAGAAAGTTCGAAAAACTTTGGATCATGTTGCGAGGCAAATGGTCACCTATGGTTTGTTTTTCTGGTAGGTTTATTGATAAAAACTATATTTGGTTTATGGTACAGTAGCTAAATAGTTGTTAATGGTATGTATTTTTTGTAAAATCTTTAACCAGAAGTTAAAAAAAAAAATAAAAGCGTATTGATTACAATTTGTGCCAGTTATCCGTTAAGCATCGAGGTTATGGTGAACTGTTTATTGTAAATATATATTTTCTTTCATGGCTTTAAGAATTACTATTTTTATTATTATTGTTTACAGAACAGACTAATTAAGATAACTATTTTTTAAGAAGGTTAGGTAATGTGGATCGAGTATTAATCATTGTAGATATAAAAGGATACATAAATTCGCAACTGAAAGCTCTTCGTACCCACAATTACTGTGAACGTCCTTGTTTGGTTTTTCAACTATAATGCAATTTATTTATTTTTATTTTTGTTATGTTTTTATATTTTTTTTTATATGATGTAACGTCACTTAAAAGTATATATATATTAGTTTGAGGTTAGAGTTACGTATCATTAGATTAGAATTAAAAATTTCGCAAGAAATTAAAATGTAAGAGGTGGTTTCATAGGCGAAATCTTGAGTTACAAACGATTTTTCAAAAAAAATTATGTTTGGTTTCGATTTTACATTGCACTTGATTTTGCATTCTAATAGGTCGAATAGAAATAGCAATATATTGCTATTGCTACGGGGATATGTGCAACCAAAATTCAGCAGACCATCCCAAATTTAGAGATGGAATAGGCCGGCATTAAGCAATAATACCAGTCAACTATACTATAGTAAAATAATCATCTGGGCAGCTTTACTTAGCGTTAGTACGTAGATAAATCACTAGTCAAAAAACTTTCAATGGCCAATCAGATTTCAAGAATGTGTAGCGCAAAAAAATTAAACCAACAAAAAATCGCTCGTAGCTCAAAATTTTGCCTATTAAAGTGACTTCTGCGTACTAACAAAAAAAATTCCTTGTAAATTTTACTATAACAACGACCTTTTAAACCAAACATTAACCTACTTGTGGGACCCTAATCCTAAACTAATTGTGAAACAATTTTTTTATAAGATCACATGGTAGGCGAAATTTTTGGGGTGGTGATGCTAGACTTTGTGTACGTGGGTTACCATTTTATTAGTAAGATTTTGGAGAAGTTTATCAACACCGGCCTATTCAGATTTTGGTCTACTGTTGGATTTTTGGTTGCACCACTAATTTATTCTTGCCATGACAATACCTGTTTTTTATACGGTACAAATATAGGCCATACTGCACAATATGAAAGACCATGAAGTACGAATGACTATAAAAATACGAAGGATAGGGCGACTTTTTACACTACCCTAAATTTATGACGTAGTTATGATAGATGTTTAACATGAGTCAAATCGTTTTGACTTTAAATATATATATTTACGGTAAAGGAAACTTTAAACGGTAAAAAAAGAGATGGGTTTGATATGATAATTATATTAGCTTTTGATTTTCGGGTTTAGTTTAATATATGCTCATACGGTTGACGTAGAGGCCTGCATTGAGTCCCGCGGCCCGCAAATTTTTGCGGGCCGGGCCGGCCTGAAGCAAAATTTTACAACTGCGGGCCAGAGCGGGCCTAAAAATTTTCAAATATTAATAATAAATTTTGCGCGCCAGGCTGGGTGAAGAAAAACTTATATATATGCGGACCGGGCCACAAAAATAGGTAATTTGCAGGCCCCTTGGTTGACGTATATGTCATGTAATAATCAAATAGTAATTTGGGGTTTTTAATTTTGGCCCAATTCCAAAAATGCGCCCGAATTAGAGGCCTGCATTGGGTCCCGCAGCCGGGTCGGGCCAGGCTGAAGAAAAAATTTGATATATGCGGGCCGGGCTGGCAAAAAAATTTTAACCCTAAATGCGGGCCGGGCCGGGCCTCAAAAAAAGGCAATTTGCAGGCCCCTAGCCCGAATAATAAGACCGACAAATTTGTTGATATAGATAAAAATAAATTATTTATAATAATGTAATTTAATAAATTTATTTGAATATTCGACATCGTTTAATAAAGAATGTAAGTGTAAAAAAAATAAAACGTAATAAATAGAAAGTCAATCGAAATCGTATTATATATTTAATCGTTATTGTACAATATTTATGTATAGGCATTCTACTACTTTACTAACTACCTTAAAAAGAAATTCATTAAAGAGATTACTTACTCATAACCTGCCCATATTTTAAT